CAGTGAAGGAAGATCATATGAACTCCAAGGGCCTTTGGAAAATGCTGACCAATTTCTCTCTCTCATGATGAAAGCAATCAAATGCAGTCTGATCAAGAGAAGAACGGGTACCAACATTTTGGTACTGTTTTCCTTCAATTCTTCTGTATTTTTTAATCAAATATTTTTTTATTTTAAAAAGTAAAAGAACTAACAAAACAACAATGAAAGCAAAATCAAAACAACACAAAAAACGATAAATGCCCTCTGAACAAAATGATAGGAATTAACAATGGTTGCTACCTTACATACTGTTATCTTCAATGAAGTTGCTTAGTCCATGAGATGTAAGAATGTAAGATTGATCAAATAATCAAAGACAGTAACAAGTAATAAAAAAAAATTGGAAATGATGCAGAGGTGGTTGAACTCAAATATTTTATAGGAAGATAAAATTATAGCTAAAACATGTTAGGTGTATACAAAGTACAACACTGAATGCTCTAAGGACTGTCTTTAAAATTACCAGGTCAACTGAATGAAACTCCTACAGCTCCTCTGACATTTATACTCATAGACACACTGAGGGATGATTAATCTAAGAGTATTTCCATGTAGAGCAATATTATGTTGTGTTGTTGTTGTGAGACACAGTGTTGATAGAACTTGTCTGCATGGCGGTGGCAAAGCAAACGTGTGTCATCTGTCATTTGTGCTACTGTGTTCTTTGGGTGCAAGCACTTTTCACAAACCAGCTCAGCATCTTTGCATAGAGCTTGTGGGTCTAACATTTAATTTTCTATTGAACTTGGGGATTGTCATGAGTGACTTTGCCAAAGATTTGTCTATCTTTAAAAATGTCTGCAGGTTATGTTCAAGTTTATATATTACGTATTTAAAATGTAAGTTTGCTTCTGATTTTAAATGTATCTGCTACAGTTAATAACCTCAGTAATTTAGAGTCATGTGTGAATTCAAACAAGTCAATTAGAAATGCTTAAAAATTCAAATAGAAGAGACAAGGCATTAATGGGCAGTGGTATTTGGTGGCCCAGTGACTGCAACTGTGGAATATTTGGAAGAGTCCAGTGATATCTGGATCATCAAAGTAGGCATTTTCAAGTATTGTATGATGTGAAATAGTTGACAGAGGGCTACCTTAAATGCATATTCTTCTGTACTTAAAATAAAAATACAACCATAAAACAATATTAGATTTGATTTTTGACTGTAGCATCAAGACATTAAAAATATATTTTTAAAAGAGTGACACTAAATATCTTTCAATCTAAGCTCTTTCTCTAAGGATTGTGTAGGCATGAACTTTACATGAGTGTCCAACTTTTTCTAATATGAAGGCAAATTTTATAAATGTTTTGGGAGAGTTCAGGGAAATAACTAAGGCATTCCAATAACCAATGCGCAGCTGCACTTTGGAAGTTTGTGCCTAAAACTACTTAAAAGGGTTAAACTTTAGTAAGTCTCACACAACTTTCAGGGTTCCAACGTTTAAAAAGTAAGATTCATCACCATGAATGTCACAATTGTGAAAAAACAGACAAATAATTGAGAAGTAATTATCAAATTGAAAGAATTTCCTGGTGGTGTAATGAAATATGCGTTACCTGTTGTGGTTTTAAAGCCTGGATTTTCTCTTTGTAAATTTCTCTTTTTATTTTGTATGTATGGGTAGGGATTCTATCTATCTATTTATTTATTTATCAATCATCTACCTATCATCTATCTATCAATCTAAAAGTTGTCACTTCATGCTTTCTTTCTTTCTTTCTTTCTTTATTGCAGTACCGGGGATTGAACTCAGGACCTTGCGCTTGCCAGGCAGGTGCTTATGACGCTGAGCTATACCCCGGCCCTCACAGCACTTTTCAGTGTACCATTCTGCAACACATTCACATCATTACTCATTAGGCGTTGTTCATCTTTGGAACCTTTTCACTGTCCCCACCTGAAAGTCTGCATCTACTAAACCCTAACTTTCCATTTTCCTCTCCTTCTGGCTATAAATTTGACAACTCTTGGTACCTCATGTAAGTGGAAAAATACTTGTCCTTTTGTGACTGGCTTATTTCTCTATTATTACCTATTAGCACAAAAATATTTTATCTATTATTAATTTTATCTAGCCCGAAACTGGGAACATTGACAGCACTTTGGGCTAAGTGAATTAAAATGCAGTTGACAGACTACCACCCAGATTTAAGTGATTTATTAAAACGAGACAAGATATTCAAAATTAAAAACCTGACAAAACAGTAGCATTAGCCTTAATGGAAGTTTTATAATATTTTTTCCTGTAGTCAATGATTAAAATGTGCATTCATTAGTGATTTTGAATTTGTATTAAATTTATGATTTTCTCATCAAAAGCAGAATTGTTCATCATCATCATCATTATTATTACTTGGCATATGAATTAAAACTTATATATGGTCCTTGGTTTGCTAAAAGAATGAGAGATAAAAAGAAATTGCATGTAGGAAGCTGTTATTAGTGTTAATTAGCAAGTTCATTAGAACACAATTTATTTCATCTGAAGTTTAAAGACTAGAAAAAACATGAGGCAAAATGTAAGCCTCCAAGGAAGAGCAGAGAAAGGGCGAGTGGATGGTTAAAATAAATCTCACCACTGCTAAGTGCCAGGCCTGCAAAACCATAGGCCTGAACATTAGTAAGAGTGGCACATTGAATGAACAACAGGAGAGGCAAGCTCACATGTACGGATACCTACACCCCCAAAAACTTTATGTATGCTGCATTTAATCTTCATGACGATTCTCTGAAGTATACAATTTACCTCTTTTTTGCACAGGTTAAAAGATTTGCCTAGATCTCCAAACTAGTGAGAAGTAGAGCCAGAATTTCAACTCATAAATATATTGTTCCAAAGCCCATGTTTTCCCCACTACGCTAAATTGTGACCTGTCTTTTACTTACTGACTCTGGAAGATTTCTTTTATTCCTGGAAAATACAGCACCAATAAAAGATTAGCCAATGTGTTGCCACTAGAAATTGATAAAGCATATGTTTTGGGAACAGGGTTCAAAATTTTATAGAAAAGAGGAAAATTCACTTACAGGATAAGGGTAGTGCAAGCAGCTTTTGCATCGCAGAGGATAGCTTTCTGGGGATGTAAGAAACACCTAGTGACTGTTTCTCATTTGGAGGCATTAGAAACATCAGTAGTTTCTGTTAAAGCAAGAGCCTTTCAAAAGAAAGACAAATCACAAGGACTGTCTAAATATGATCAGGTCACAGGGCTCACAAGGTTTTCCTGCTTTCACTGCTGAGAACTCTGAAATAAAGAAAATGAAGTTGCCCGATAAGGATGACATTTTATGATCAACCAAAATGGATGAGAACAGACATCATAAATTTCTTTAAAGTGACAAAATAGCTGTAGCTTGATTGTACTTGTGGATATATCAAAATAAATACTGTCTCAATCAAATAATATGTGAGACTTCCTGCCTTGTTGGTATTATCAACATTTTACATTTTTTTCATAATCTAAAGAGTCTGAAATCAACTCATACTGTTGTTTTAATTTACAGTTTTCTGTGGAGCATCTTTTTCATATGTTTATTAAGTCATTTGAATTTTCTCTTGTGTGAATTGACAGTTCTTATATTATGCAAATATCCAACCTTAGTAACCAGTCTTGTCAAAATTTTCTAACAGATGTATAAGTTTGGGTGTAAGATTCTCTTGAACTTTCTACTTAGACAATGTAGGAGAGATAGAGATGCTTACAAAGCCTTATTTCCTCTTCTTTCCCAGCACACAGCTACATATTTCCCCGTTTTCCTCCCCTTCATTTTGCCAGTTGACTGACTGAATTCTACAAAACGTAATGCGGACAGAAATAGTACTGTGTTTATTCCTAAGCCTTCCCACATATGGACCCCCATTTTCTTTTATCATTTTCCAGAAGAAGGAAGGAAGGAGGGAAGGGAGAAGGGACGGATAAAAGGAGTTGGCGTGTGTTATGCAAGTGCACCAATGTCACGCACAGAACGTAAGCATCACGTACGGCAGACACGCACTGACAAGAGGAAGTGGCTCAAGGCAGGGGTGGAAAGGGAACGGAAGGAAGAAAAAGGGGACAAAGAAAAAAACTCAGATGTGTTGTGTACGTGTACCAACTTCCCACGAGGAATGTAAACATTATGTACTACACACACGTACTAATAAACTAAAATTTAAAAAAATCACGTAAAAATTTTTATTTAGGGGAAAAAAAAGAAACTGTCTTCCAATTCCTAATTTAAAGAATATTTTACTATGAATTTGTATTGAATTTTGTCAGAAGTTCTTGGTCTGTGGATATAATAATTTGTATATTTGGCCTGTAATCCTTCACTATAAGGAATTACACAGTAGCCTTTTCTCATGTTAAACTATCATAAGTTCCTGGGATAGGCCCCCTTTATTTTACATGCTATTGGTGTCCAACCTTTCACATGGTAATATTATCAATGTTTGGTATATTGCTTTTACATTACCATTACTGGTCATTATTTTTATTGTTTATTCACACAGATAAGGTAGAATTTCTTTGTGTGTTTTGTAATTTTGTGAGCTCTTGCTTAACTTAGAATTCACCTGAAGGAATCCTATGTGTAGCAGTAAGAGGATGCACAGAGCATCAGATCATTGTAAATGAAACAGAGTAATGGATTTGTTAAAGGAATTAGACCTCGGGCAACTGGGGAGCTGGTTAGGAAGTCTGTGCCGGACTGCTGCCTTTTGATGTGGTTTTGAACCTGAGGTCACTACAGGCCAGCCAGGCAGGCAACCAGGAGTGACAGCTGGATTTGAAGTGGGAGATGGCAAGGACAAACTGGAGTCCGCAAGGTCACAATAGAAACCCAGTGACAAAATAGAACCCAGGAGGACAAACTGGAGTGGGATTGCTATAGTTTGGATCTGGACTGTGCCCTAAAGTCTCATGTCATAAAGACGTGGTCCCAGTGAGACTCTGTCAGGAGGTGGCGGAAACCTGAAGAGACAGGGCCTACTGGGAGGTCTTTCAGTCACTGGGGGCATCCTCTTGAGAGCAGTGGGACCCTGACACTTCCTCTCTCTCTTTCACACTTAGCCATGAGGTGCCTGCCATGATGCACCATGCCTCCACAAGTTAAAAGCAGTTGGGGACATTCAGTTATGGGTGGAACTCTCTAAAACTGTGAGCTAGAATAGGTCTTTCTTTTTCATTAGCTTATTATCTCAGGTATTTTGTGATAGTAATGGAAAGCTAACACACTGACTGTCGGGATCCTTAATTTCAACGATGCTGACTACCTGCAGAGAAGTCTCAACTCTTCTCCATGGAGTTGTGCCCATACTTGGCCCAGGACTAGGGGAAGTCAAAGGAAGAAATTCAGTGGAAGCCAGAGAGCTGCCGGTGTTGGGGCTTCTCAAGGACAACAAGGTGGTTAACAGGTTAGCAAACACGTGTGTAAACTGCCAATGCCTGGTGTTCTGTATTGCCTTTCAGAGTGCAAATATGGCTGCTTCTGTATTTGTGCCTTTCGATTCTCAAACCAACATGCTGTATGGCCAATTTTAATGGGGAAACATGCAAGGAAAGGAATTCTGAGAAACACAGCCCCAGCCTAACTAAGTTGACATTGTATAAAGACATAATACCATGCTAGTGTAATTGAAGGTATGTTTCTCCAGAGATGATTTAAGTTTATTTCTTGGAACACTGTAACTAAGCTTCCATAACAAAATTAATAAGCGATTTTCTCTTGTAAGAGGCTTAAACAATACTCCTTCCCTAGTTAAAATTTTAAAAGCAAGCAGCAATTCTTTCCTTGTGTGCATAGTCCCCATTCCAATTCCTACAGTTATCAGTAGATAACCCTGTTGTCTTCCTTGCAGAAGAATGAACTGACAAGAAATCACAAGATGGTTTACAAGCTTATCTTATAGATCCATAGATTGCTCAGTGGTTCCCCAGATGCCCACTAATGACAAAATGTCTGAAGACTTTGATTTTATTGAGGCTTGTGAAACCACTGGTTTCCTCCCAGGCACCTCCTTCTGCGCCCTTTTCTCTTATATAACCCTCATCATGCATGCTGGGGAGAGACAGATTTGAGGCCTGTCCTCCGTCTTCTCAGCTGGTACCTTCTTGGGTAAACTTCCTCTACTCTGAGCACAGTGTTCTGTGTTTGCTGCTTGCTGTGTACTTGGCACATAAATCTAAGTTTGGGTTCAGCAACAGTATCCCTGAGGCATCTCTGCCTGCGATCAATTTTCATGTAAATTTTTCAGCTTGGGGCTTTCTAGACCAATAACTCAAACATAAAATGAGGTGCTTGCTATGGCTCCGGTCTCTCAGGAAGAACCTCTATTCCCTAACTCTGAACTCAGGCTGAAAAGACAAATTAACCTGTTACTTCTTATGCCAATGGGCAGGTAATTTTGTCCACATTAATGTTTTTATTTAACGTGAGGCTCTTCTAGGGTTCAGGCTACGTGAGTAGCCTCTGTTCTAACTCCCCTCTTTGACAGGGCCGAAGGTCTGTTCTCCGGCTCCTCAGAGATGTTAAAACACAGCCTCTGGATTAGGTGCAGGGTTCTCCCCAAGAGCAGAGAGTCAGACAGATCTGGGCTTTGTTTCAGTTTTCTGTTAAGTCTCTATCCCCTACAGAGCGATTTATTTCCTTTCTAGCTCAGAAGTGCATTAAAATTTTTTAAAAACTAGTATTTTATCTAGATTTTCCAGATGTCTTTAACGTATTTTCAGGGTAACTAATTACTCTACCATGCTGCCCAAACAAGAAGCCCATTGTTTTCCCAAGCCTAAACTTAAATGTAGGGGCTGTTTTCACAAGGGAAGCATACTCTCGCAAGTTCAAAGTTATGGGGAAAATTACACATATACAAAACAGATCAATTAGAGAGATAAATTTGCATAACAAAAGGTTTCACCATAGGACTACTTAAAATAGCTAGGATCCCACAGTGTACTAACAGCATCTAGGAGAATATGTGTTGTATAAATCTATGGTGTCTGTAGTTAAAGAAATGCTGGGCTGAATTCTTTTGTAAAGCAGAAAATCCTTTCTGTGATGTGAATGATCACTCCCTAATTTACAAGTTTTGTAAGTTTGGATCTTCGTGTATCTGACTTTTCTCATTTGGCTTCAGTAAAACAGATCTAGAAAAGGTTATTTACATAAGACTCAGGTTTAATCTTCTTGAATATGTTTTTCTACATTAACATTAAATTATCAAAACAATCTGCATAGAATAATGAGATCTTTCTAATATTTAATATGTCCATTACTGTATAATTTCCTGAGTCTTATTACTGGACATATATCTAAGATATTTTCTACACAATTTTTTTTATACATTTACTTAAAGCACACTGTCAAAAAGCTTGACCAAAAACATAACCACTAATTCACTGTGTGCAACATTAGCGATCAAATTACTATTCATCAGTATCAAACTGTTATTACATGTCTTATGCATAGATTGCCCTCACTATTTATTGGGAGACCAGTACTATAAATACTGACTAACATGGCAATATTTTGACTTCCATCTAAATTGAATAGCGATGATCAAAAAGCTCATTTCATTGTCTTCATGATCTGTGTTTTAGAATTTATTTTGATACACCATTAAACATTTTATCAGGGTAATATACATAATGGATATATTCTAATGAAAACAGGAAGCCAATTTTATACTAATCCTTGTCTGGTTAAATAAAATAGCTCTTGTTCTCAACCTTGGCTTCACATTGCAATCATCAGGGCAACCTTTAAAAAATACTGATGCTTGGCTCTTACTCTAGGGATTTGGTTTTTTTTTTGGTTTTGGTTTTTCCCCGGTACCGGGAACCGAACTCACGACCTTGCGCTTGCCAGGCAGGTGCTTTGCCGCTGAGCTAAATCCCCAGCCCCACTCTAGGGATTTGGATTTAATTGGTATGGGGTGCAGCCTGGTGTTGGAATTCTGTGTAGCTGAGTTAAGAACTGAGTTAATGTAGTCAACTTTCAATTATTCAAACCCACTTAGTCAGAACTCTCAGTTAACTGACGTCTGGAAAAGGGAAGGGTATGTTGGGTTACAGAATTAAAATTTTTTTTAAAGAGGCAAAAAATCATTAAAAAATTTGTCAGGCATTTATTCTGAAATCAGTATTTGAGCATGAACTGAGGTGAGATTCCAAACTTCTGCATTTACAATAGTGAACAAAAGTAGTGCCACAGAACAATACCTTGAGGTGTTACTATTCCGTCTATTAGAAAGAAAAGAGTTAATGATGTTTTACTCTACTTACTTGTAGGTGGTTGACTCATATATGGATATAAAACAAGTATGTTAAACATGCATGATTCATGGTTGTAAAAGTAGTACAAGGCAATTCCCCTTCCCCAAATATATAAATTTATTCTGTGGCACTGTTTTTTTCCTGTGGGAAGTTCTAGTCACTCTTAGGTGGAAAAAAAAGCTGTGGTCATTTTAGATGGAAAACACAATCTAAATTTAATAATCAAAATTGATTATCTCATCTAATAGCAAAAAAAATCTAATCTTGATTTCCAGTGGAGGCCTCTCCCCTTCCTACCTTGGACCCTTGCACTGGCGAGCTTGTAGGCAGGAGAGGTGCTGGCTGGTAACTTCTTTCTTTCCATCACTTCTGGCACCAAACACATCTCCCTGCAGTGTCCATTTTAGTGGCTTTGGAAGCTTAGCATTCTTCCCTTCTGATGCACTGCTGCACACAGCTGTACAGATCTTTCTTCACTCACCTGGATTACCCTTCTCTTTTGTTCACCTCTGAGACCCCAATTTGTCCTTCAAAACCAGTTCAGACATCACTCCAGCACCGGTTGTCTCCTTATTCAGCTGCAGCTAATGCTGTAATAAGTGTCAGAAATAGTACAATGGAATTTATTCAACAGTTATATAAGGGCCTGTCATGTAGTGATAAGAATTAGAGGTTCTTAGGTAGCAGATATCCAAATCCTTCATTGTCCAGATAAGGAAATTAGTGAGGTCAAAGACTTGCTGAATAGTTTCATGGCTGCTCAGGAGGCTGCACAGGACTCCCAGCATGTTATAATTTTAATAGAGTGGGATATTCTCCTGAATTGAAGATATTGTCAACTCCATGGATGAAAAGTTTACGCCAAAGAAGCAAGACCCACCTTACGACCACTAAGTCTTCTTGCATCAGCCTTGGGCAATTTATTTCACATCTCTGAGCTGCAGTTTCCCTAAGCAATGCACAAAAGGAACACTCACCTTGCCTTCCTAAAATTGTATTATTGGAAAGAAATGACTCTGTGGAAGATATACTTTATTGCATTATCTCCAAGGTGGTTTAAAAATGTCAGTTGCTATAATTATTGCCATAGTTGCTCTAGGATATGTATGCTTCAAAGGTTTTATGGACTTTCACAAATACTTTGCAGTCAAGGGATATGTTGTTAATCTTCTGTTCAGCAACAATGGAGAAAAATATAGTTTTAATGCTAATCCCCAAAAATATTCCTCATTTAAAATTGTGTCCACGTCATTTATTATAGTTATCCCAATCAAAGTACATTATTTAAATTTTTAAATGATCTATCTATCTATATATAAAGCAATTAGAAGTGATTTTCATATAAGAGAGTTCATTAAACATTTTTTGTTGTTATGTACATCCTCATACTTTTCTATTCCTTCCACAACTTCTGAAAGCCAAACACTGCAGAGTATGAATTTCATTCTCTATTGTTAGAAATGGCAAAGGTCATGAGTGATGAGCATTCAGTTCTTGTTTTTGCTCATTGCTAACAAAAAGGTTTTGCTTCAGGGAACAGGAGTGTGTGGGAAACACTGTACCAACTACTTTAGCTTCAGAGGGTGGTGTTTTTTTTTTTTTTTTTTTTCCGGTACCGGGAACCGAACTCATGACCTTGCGCTTGCCAGGCAGGCGCTTTGCCGCTGAGCTAAATCCCCAGCCCCCTAGGGGGTGGTGTGTTTTAAAATGCATGTTTGTATTATGCATTTATTCCCATTCAGGTACTTCTATAAATGTCCTGAGTCCTCCTCTCGGCTTTATTCTGTGTATGGATCCACATGTCAGGGAGATAATGAGACCCAAGGTTAAAGGGAAAATTTTGTCACTGAGTTGAAAATTATAAGTCTTCTTCCTTTGAATTATTTCCTTCTTGAATTTCAGAATATCATCACCTATGAAGGTTACTTTAATAAAAAGAATCCTTGGATGAGGAAAACAAAGTCATATCTATACAAAAGGATAACAGAATTTAAATAATGTGGAAATTTTTACCTATATCCTCTCCTTGCTCCATATCTGAAGTAGCTCAGATGTGACTAACTTGTTTCCTTTTCACGGTTGGGGAAGCTACTTTTATAGGTTGTCATCTATTTCACTATGAACTTCAGTTGTTTGTCAAAGAATGAACAATTAGAAAAGGTACAGCCAGGAGATTTGTATGTACCTTTTGATGCACACTAAATGATATTTTATCTTTCAAAGGGTTCATGGGTGCCCTTAATTGCAACCACATTCATTAACAGAGAGATTTTCATGCAGCAGACAGAAAACAATATAAAGAAACCAGAGAAAATTCCAAACTGGGAGTTGTAGTTCTCATCTGTGCTCAAAAAGCAAAGCTACTTATAAATATGCATAATTATTTTTGTAATAAAAAAGAAATACAAGACTTTGCTGGTTTAACCAACTGTAGGTGATTATACCAAAAATGTCGTGGAAGTAGGCTGCTATGTGCTGATTCCTGCTGCTTCTCTTCTGGGGTGGGATTGTTGGCACTGGAAAAGAAAATCCCCACTTCCCCAGCCAAGTACAGATTGTACAAGCAGAGATCTATTATTAACATGGTAAATATCTAATAAAACCACCTTTTCTATTTGTTCCCCCCTAAGCCACATGCTGTATGTGAACAAGGACGGGATTTTGCTTCCAGTGGGGAAGGGCTCTACCAGCCTTCCCACCGCTCAGGAGAAGAGGGAGGTGGTGATGAAGCCCAGGAAGTAGCGGGGGGGCGGTGCCACCCGGCAGGTGCACCGGTGACCTCTGTGGGAAGGTGAATTGCTTACACTCTGTAGCTCGCCTCCCCTCAACCCCGCACAGTCTGCATCGAGGTGCTCATCAGGGACACAGGGCCGGGGGCGGTAAGGCCATCACTGTGTACAGTGGGTGGACTCATAAAGCACGGCGTGGAGGAGGTTCTCCTGCAGAAACCTAACAGTGTGCAAGAAGCGTATTCTTCCAGCATTTGGCAAGAAACCCAGAAGCGTGAGCTGTACTTGATGTTTACCAGAAGTTCTGGGAGGTGGCAGCTTGAAACATGATGTAGTCAAGTTTAAAAAAAAAAAAAGATCAACTGCAGGCGGGCCGAGGGCTCTGTGGAAAGAGACCTGGATTCCAACAGACCCAGGCCCTATCCTGTTCTCAGTGTGTGAACACGTATGAGTTCCTGCTCCTCTGCTTCCTGTTGGAAGATGGGGACCAACACTATGAAAATGCTTCGGGAAGGTAACAACGGATCCTCATCACCTGTCTGCCTGGTCACCTGGAGCAGCCAGGGAACTGTAATTTATTCCTACTCCTTAAATTTGCTTCCCTTAGGCTCAGAAGGAAGGCTTGTGTACTGGGTCTCACAATGCCTGGCTTGCTCCTGGTTTGTGATGTTGGGAGCCTGGGGTAGTCGGCTGGGCACACTCCAAGAAGCACTACCCGCCCGGGTGGCTGAAGTTTGCACAGGCCTCCTCTGCTCCTGTGTAGGTCGGGGCTGGAAGAGGCAGAGGAGCCTTGTGCTGCCTGGGGAAGCAGGCGCCTCACACTACCAGGGCTGTGACGATGGTGGGGGTGGTTGTGTCCCCAGAAGCTGCTTCTGAGCTCTCTCTCTGGGTCCTCATAATTGCACATGGGGACCCACGGCCCACTGCTGCTCTCTTCTCCTCTGTCCACCACAATGGCTTCTCCCCACTCTCTTTCCTCTCCTGAACAACGGTACAGGAGTTCAGTTCTGATGTCAGCATTCAATCCAGCTGCAGCTTGCTCCCAAGCAAGCAGGGGCCTCCTTTCCCTCTTGTACACTGTAAAGTTCCCCCAGGAAGACCCCTCTCCCCTGCTGTTAGCTTATTTTAAGGTCCCTGTTACAGGTTCCCCTAGGCAAACCTTGAACACGGTGCTTATTGTACGGTATTGCAGCTGTTTGCTTCTCCCCATCAGAGGGTGAGCCCTTCAGAGGAAACACTGGAGGCTGACACGGGCCTCTCTGCTCCCTAGCACAATGCTTGACACGCAGTGTGCACATGGTAAGTATCTCCTGAACCGAACTGGTCAGATCCCACCACACGCTCCTGCTGATTAACACTCGCACATATGCCAGTGAGAGGCGCAAAGGAATAAAGAGAAACATCCCACTTCCAAGTCTCTCCCCCAACTCACTCCTCTGTCTACCAGAAGGTCCGAGGGGAGAATAAAATTAGACAAAGCTGGAGTAAAATCAGTCACAAAGTGATCTCTCCTATTTATTTTGCATTTTGGTTTTGATTCTTTAAAGGAATGTAAAGGTTTCACTCTTTTTTTTGGTGTTCTTAACCTAAATTATCTTAATGATCTGTATGTGGATAAAAGATGAAGACAATTAAAAGTTTGATGGGGCTATAAGGAAAGTTTGAGAATCATTTTGCACCTTCTAGAAATTTTCTAAGTCATACTGATTTGAAGTTTCGAACACTGTGTTTTCTTCTCAATTCTAAGTCCTAAGCCAAGGAATTCAGAGTTCAAGGATTTTTTTATTCAACTGAGTATTATTGATAAATAGTGTAAAACCTTCCCAGAGGGCTCACTGTTCCCCAAAAGTGGTACCTACTGCTCGGTGACAGACATCAGCTGGCCAGTGAAAATACACACAACTTCCTTACTTTTGCTTCTTTTCTCCTATAGAGTCTACAAAAAGTTCAGACATGTTTCCCATCCTCTTGAAGGACAGTAACTGTGTGACACAGTCTGACCAAAGAGATGCTGCTGGAAGGTTTCTGGAAGAGCTTTTGATTTCCTGGCAAAAGAAACACATCCCCATCCTTTCTCTTTCCTCCATCTGCGGATGCAGATATGTGATGCCTAAAGCCACTTGGTGGTCATGAGGTGAGAACATGAAAGCATAAACGATGCTAAAGACAGCAGAGCAAAAAGATAGAATGGCCTTGGCCCCAAATGATACTGTTAGCAACTGACACTTCCAGGGTACTTGTCAACGAACACAGCTCATGTCAGTATGGATGGAAGCCTTTTTGGTCAGTTACTTGAAGCTAAAGGCATTCCTAACTGCTTGAAGCCCCCAAACAAGGACATTGCCCTACTAATGAAACAACTTGGTTACCTGTGGTGTCATTCCAAAGCTGAAACACAGCTAATCTTTACCAAATTTAATCCTAAACAGTTCTCATAATGTCCCTTCAGGCAGACACGTCTGATACTACTGCTACTACATCAAGAACATTATTATATAGTTTCCTATGGTTGATGTATGTTATGGTTTGTGTCTGGGTGTCGCCCCAAAGCCTCATGCGGCCATGGGGCAGGCTTTTAGAGTTTGATTGATTATGGATGTGAGAGCTACACCCGCCCTGGGGTGGATAGTTTGCATATGTAAGGGAGAGGGGGAGGGTGCTTCTGGCCATTTCCTCCCTTGTGTATTTTGTTGCTTTTTGCTGTATTCTGCTGCCATGAGCTGTAGCCCTCTGCCATGTGCCACTCTGCCTTGTAACTTGCCACGTATGGACTGAAACCTCCACAAACTGTAAGCAAAATAAACCTTTCCTTCCTTAACGTTGGATGTCAGGTATTTTTGTCCCAGCAATGAGAAAAAAGTAACCAAGACAATGTACAAAGTACAAAACCTGGGTGGCTTAAAGCAGAAATTTAAACTCTTACAGTTCTGGAGGTCAGAAAGTCTGAAAGCAAGTTGTGGGAGGGGAAGCAGAGCCAGGCTGTCACTAAGGGTTTCAGGGGAGAATCCCTCCTTGCCTTTTCTGGCTCCTCATGGCTTCAGGTGCTATGTGACCACGGCAGCATCCGCTCAGCTTCTGTCCTCTCTTCTCATGTGCATATCCTTTTTGTGTGTGTCTTCTCTTCTTATTGACACCCACTTAGTTTAGGGCCTACCCAGATAATCCAGGATAGTCTTCTCTTGAATCTTTAATTTAATTAAATTAATGAACACTCTTTCCTAATAAGGTCACATTCACAGGTTCCAGGTGGCATTTCTTTTGGGAGGTCCTCATTACAATTACACAGTTATTTTCCTTCTATTCTAGAAAAATCATTCTACTAGCCTTAATTTTCATTAGATTCAATAACTTCAAATTTTTTAAAGTCTGTGTGAACAAATGTTTACAGCAATTTGTTTTGTGTTGGATCAGAATTTAAAGTTGTTTTTGGAAATATATGTTGGATTTCCTATTTTAAAGTAAGAGATTATTTTTATTACATTCTAGTCTTTATTTCTCATTTTAAATATAAAATGGGTGACTTACAATAGGCAAATACATCATGGTAGTAAAATATTCATCAGGCCTCGTATTATCCAGGCAAAATATTTCTTGTGATTTATTAACCACAATCTTTGACACTGATTGGATTATTAGTATTTTTAGGATATACAGTCTTTCTTCCTAGATTAATGATTTTAAACTCTCATTTTGGGACTCATACCACCGAGATTCCCAGCCGAAAAGCGCCCAAAGAGCCAGGTAGGCCGCACCCAATCCCCGAGGCCGGGACGCGAGAACAAAGACCCCGGTGACACTGCAGACTGAGTTTCTAGGCGCTGGGAGGCCCAGGGGACGGGCGGGGCGAGCAGGCCCTCGGAGCCGGCC